CGGAAAAAAGTAAGTCTGCACCGAGAAGAGGGGGAGACCCCACAAGCACAACTTAGGAACTTGCTAAACCTTAATCAAGAAAACATCCCAAAAATTGTCAAAAAGAATAATGTAAAAGGTTAGAGAGTATTGTCGGAAAATAGACTGCCAGGCAAACAGGAAAAGTTATTGTTAGCGATAAGTATGTAAATGAGGGGAGGGATTCAGTCATAATTGTGACGTCACCTCACAGTATAAACATTGTACCTCAAGTGAAGATGACAGAGGTGAGCTTCTGTTAGCAACAAACGTGGTGAGCTTCGTAGCAGTGAATGACAAGAGGCGTCTGATAGCTATAAAGGTGTTCCAACTATTTCCGGCACACAGTCGTGTCGATAATCATTGTAAAAGGCGTAAAAATAATATAGTACTTTACAAGTTCATATCTTTTAAGGAATAAAATTCTTATAACAAAACAAATGCTCAGATTATGGTATCTGTGTATAATTGTTATGAAAGGGGAGAAATCTTCATTTTCATTTAATTTTTACTATTAATATCAAAGACAGAGTTATAATTTCCTCAAATCAAAAATAAAAAATATATAGGATTAAATAAAACAATTACACAGAAGACAGTAGATAACATCTAAAATCTAAACTGTACAGTCGACCCCCCTATAAGATATAGATACGTTCCATTCTTTAGGAATCCGATTTCTTACGAGTCGTTCCAATCACAGCCCGACACGTGTCAAGTTTACGGACTACAGCTGATTGAAAGGTTTTCTTCCATAAAATTAATCGATTCTAGACTAATCCGACTCAACATTTACAAAATACGTACTGTATATATTTTTTTGGAAATAATCCGTAAAAACTACGCTATAAACAAAAAATTGTAGGATTACTTACCGAGTGTCACCATTCGACATCACCATTGCTCAACATTGTTTTCGTCGCGGAACAGCTCAGCAAACCGCGACCGATTTCTAACAACTTATTTTTCTGCCAATAGTTCCTTGAACTTCAGAGACATCATTAATATAAATAATTTTAATCGCCGTTGAATAAGAAATGTTTCTTTCACAAGAAATGTATAAAATTACAGTACTGTATTAGACTTACGGTACCTAATTTACATATTCTACAGACGATAGTTAGCGTAAAATCTCCGTAGCGTGGCGCCACGCTAGACGGCGGAAATTATATATTTAATTATAACAAAGTTACAATAAGTTAATATATAATTATATATACAGTACCTAATTTATATATAATTAATATATAATTATATGTACAGTACCTAATTTATATATAATTTATATAATACTGTCCAGACGATAGAAATCTCTCCGTAGCGTGGCGCTACGGACGGCGGGAAAGTAGTTCGGCTTCCCGATGACGTTTGAGGTGTTTATAGGGAACTTTTACTATTTTTTACGGATACCGGTAGCAATTTTTTCGTAGTTTTATAGGAATCGTAACTATAGGGACCGTAATTATAGGGGGGTCGACTGTA